CATTAACATATTAACATATTTCTACATCATTTATATATACATATTTATATTTATTTCAATTACATAGGTAGGTACAGCATCAATCCATCGATTTTGAAACGATTATGAGAAATCAAAGTTGAGAAGATATGTATACCCACGCACAGGATTTCCTTTGTGGGTTTCTTGAATTTGTTCAAAATAAATTAGGATCATTGTAACCAATGTATCGTATCAATGTGTTTTACATATTATTCGTGCCTGTAACAGTTTATGTTATGTCTTTGCCTGAATAAATTCATTATTATTATTATTATATTAAATAGCTGCCGCAATCAAAATTTTTCTCAAAAAGCGCTGCTTGGATTGTGCTTTTCTAAACATATAATTTTTTAGAGAACAGCTCGAAATAATTCCAGCACAATTGATATTATATTATCAATAAAATGTTTGTATGTTTCAGGAGAAATAAGCCAGTGTCATTCAGCGTAGACGAAGAAAGAATTAGACAGATATCGTAAGTAAAATGTTTACCTAGACTTTATACGTACAGAGTAGCCCATGTTGTTGAATTTCCTACAACAGCTAGAAATTCTAGAGGAAGTTTTGAGTGAATTGAAATATTGGGATATTCCAAGTCACTGTTTAGAGAAGTGATATTGGGTTTTGAAAGTATTCGCGGTTTGATTCAGTTTAGTTGATTTATTGATTTAGAGAACATTTTCGAGTTCCTTTTAAGAGTTTAGGGCAGTTTTTGGGAAAGAATGGCTTTTGTTGAAGACTTCAGGAGAGTCCCCCTACGTTAATTTGGTTAACGTATTTAAAGAAAATTCTGATCTATATTGTTATTGCATGCGTATGTGTATTATATTTTCAAATTGGAACCTAGGGTATTGTTGAAAATTTATCAAATTGCTACGAATCGGGTTCCCTTTTTCATTATTAGGTTATAGCATTTTCCTATGTTATACAGGGAGGAGCGATTAGGTGAGTCTCTTAATAGTTCCTCAGAGTTGTATTTCATTTTGTTTTTATAGCAGATCTACTAGAATTCAGGCAAGGCCTGACTGATGTTATTTCAATTTTCAGGGGAATAATCCTGTCCTGTTTAGTGGTTTATTCTCCAGTTATTTATTTTATTTTATTAATTGTTAATACGATTATTCAGCCGACTTTATTCATCAATGAAGTTGGTATATGGAAACTCTGCTAATATTATTTCATTCCCTCAAACCCCTAAAAGATCACGCATTCAAGCCGTGGCCGAATTTAGTCTCTGAGGATATAATTGATGGCATAACCAAGCCATTGCTCTAAGAAGATAGAAAGATAAAAAATTCACCTGTTGACTAAATCGCCTACTAATTCTCAATCCATGTGAACAGGACAGATTTCAAATTTTTTCTGATCTGGTGGCAGCAACTCTCGCGCTACCAAACTAAATTAAAAAATAAATACCTTCGGCTGAACGATCCCTAGTATAATTGAGATAATTGTTATATATCATTAGTAGTATATAGGAATCGCCAATTCAGACCCGACGGTCATTTATTAAATCATATCCGATGGCAGTACACGTTTCGTGCAAATGTTTATATAGAAATCTACCGATTTTCCAGAAGTAAGACTACCGATAAGTATTCTGACCCGACGGCAACGCTGCTACTTAATAAGATCTACTGCAGATCGAAACCGCACTGTCTGGTATTGGGCTCTAGTATCATGTAGTTGCCTGTATACTGTGACAGCTGCAGAGAGAGGCAGAAAGCCGTTTCCTATTTGTCATCAGTTATTTCAGATGAAGCAAACTATTGTATCAAGAATGATTTCTCCCAAATTAATCAAATGGGATTTAAAAATTAGATATAATTCAAGTAAACGATATAGTGCAACCTACTTGTCAACAGCTCCCCTTTAATAATATAGTTAGGGGGCTAACTAATTTCATTATTCAATATTTATTTCTAATTATCTGAAAATCACAATAACCATATAATATAGCAGCAGAACGGAAGTGTACTCTTATAACACAAGTTATTCCAATATTTCGATAAAATTTATTATCATCTTCAGGGAAAAGCTACAAATGTTTTATGGTGATAATACAATATGAAAAAGTTTTTTTTTTATTTTAATAATGATATAAA